CGCCCGCCGGAGAATCCTCCGCCGGAGTCGGAGAAGGTTCCGGCGGCGGAGGCGGAGATGTCACCGGAAAACGCGTCGCCGAGCTTAGCACGGCGGAAAGGCAGGAGATTCAGATGAAGAAAGCGAAGCTCATTAGCATGCTCCATGAGGTATGTACATATACTGATGATATACGTATATATATTTGCGTTGTGGATTAAAAAAATTGCTAAGTTTGTGTCTTTTTCAATGGATATTTGGACCCTCTCATATATTTTCTAAATTATAATTCACTATTCAAAAACTTGACTTATATGGGATGAATTCTTGCACAGTATATAAACACGTGAGCGAATATATATACACGTTACATCTATACATATATGCACAAGCCTACAATATCTCACCAAGTTGCTGCTTTTAAAGAACTCCAATCATACCTCTTATGTTTATCGAATTTCGAAATCTACCCTTTTAGTTATTTCAATTATCGAAATACCCCAGACAAGATTATTACCTTTTTCATCGCAAATTCTTGTTTCACTTTTGTCACAATTCATTTGAGTCCTAACAATGAATCTCACAACAAACCACATGCAACAGATTTTAATTTTATTTCGTTTTTAATAAAATTACGAAATCAACCCACTTTACATTTTTTTTTACGTCACAAAGCACCCTCTACAAGATTTACCTTTTTCACATTTCATTTGAGTTCTTACGACGATTATTGCTACAAAAACCATGCAAAGAATCCTAATTTTCATTTCCCAACATTGATGATCCAAAAGGTGGACCAAAGATACAGGCAATACCACCACCAGATGCAGATAGTGATATCATCTTTCGAGCAAGCAGCTGGGATAGGCTCGGCAAAGTCTTACACTTCTTTGGCCCTAAAAACGATATCGAGACAGTTCCGATGTCTGAAAGATGCGATCTCCGGACAAATCGAGACCGCGAACAAGAGCCTTGGAGAAGAAGAAAGCGTGTCCGGTGGCGGAAGGTTCGAGGGCTCAAGGTTGAAGTTTGTGGATCATCACTTGAGGCAACAAAGGGCGCTTCAGCAGCTGGGGATGATTCAGCATCCTAACAACAATGCTTGGAGACCCCAGAGAGGATTGCCCGAACGAGCTGTCTCCGTTCTTCGCGCTTGGCTCTTCGAACACTTTCTTCATCCGTAAGTTACCCATTTCTTGTTTATATATATATGTGTGTATATATATTGTCAATTTCCACTTACAAGATCTTACACGACAGCATGTTTAACTTGGAAAAATCTCAGGATGAGCGATATACCGGAAACAATTATACGTAAGCATGCAAATAAACGTTCCTTGAATAGTTGTTAACCCTTTGTTAAAAAACCATTATTTTTTATTATCCATGAGCGTGAATATGCCATAACTTAATGGTCACATATGGTACGTCCTCTTTCAAAATATTTTAGTGACCTCAAGAAAGTTTTGAAAGTTCCTGTGGTATGAAGAAAGTTTTGGTCTATGTTTTTGGTTTTAGATACCCCAAGGATTCGGACAAACACATGTTGGCGAAACAAACCGGATTGACTCGAAGCCAGGTAATGTAATTGATAGGAACAAATGTTTATTTGTTGTTCTTAAATAATTTCTTACAAAAACTTGATTTCTTTTTAGGTATCAAACTGGTTCATAAATGCGAGAGTCAGGCTATGGAAACCGATGGTGGAGGAGATGTACTTGGAGGAGATGAAGGAACAAGAAAAGAACAATGGACCAATGGACAAGACAGTGGATGAAAACAATGAAGATTCAGCATCCAAATCCATGAGCAACCACGACAAGAGCTCCGTCGGAGCAGAAGATTACCAACTAAACAGCAACTTGCCTAACCGCAATGTGGTCCTAGAAGGTGTTATTGGAGCGCAAGGCAGCCCGAAAAGGCTTAGAACCAGCGACGAAATGCTGATGCAGCCAATGAATACGGGCTTCAACCCAAACGAGAAACTCACGATGAAGATTCTAGAAGAGAGGCAAGGCCTAAGAGACGGATATTCGTTCGTGGGGAATTTCGGGCAATACCAAATGGACGAGATGCCAAGATTCGACGTCTCGGATCACCAGCACTTGATCGTGCCGCCAAGAACATTTTCAGGCAACAATGGAGTCTCGCTTACACTTGGATTGCCTCACTGTGAAAGCTTATCAGCGACACATCACCAAAACTTCATGCCTAACCACAACATTCAACTCGGAAGACGGGTGAAGATCAATGGTGAAACGGACGATTTCGGCGCCATGAATGCATCAGCATCAACACCACATTCATCGTCAGTAGCTTACAATGGAATCAACATGGAGAACCAGAAGAGATTC